ATTCTGTGAGTCATTGTGGATAGATTCTGACTTAGTTTTGACTTAGTTTCAAGACATTTTAGATCAGTTTGAGTCATTCTGGACACTTTTCAAACTCATTTAGCCACGTTTCCAGCCACAGAGGACAAATCTGAGTCCTCTGAGATGATTCATGAGTCATTTTGACAGTTTTAAACTCGGTCTGGAAAGGCTTTTATATATTTTGGACACTTTCTAACTCATTTTAGGCCAATTTTAAGTCATTTTGGACAATTAAAGTCCTTTGGGCAATAATTAAATCATTTTGGATGTCTGCTTTTTAAACTAATTTTAGGCATGTTTAAAGTAATTCAGGGCAAATTTGAGTCCTTTGGGACAGTTTTTGAGTCTTTTTGGATGTTTTGAGTCACTACGGGTGGTTTTTAATTAGTTTGAACAATTTTCTAGATATTTTGAACCCTTTTAACTGATCTTAAGCAAGCTTCAGGTCATTCTGGACAAACTCGAGTCCTCCGATGCACTCTTTAAGGTCATTTCGAACAGTGTCGGTCCGTCATTGTTCAGCAGTTTTCATAACTTGCACCGTCCAGCTGTCGTCCAGCAGTCTGTGAGAGTCTGAACAAGAGCTTCAATCTGCAGCTGTTCCCTAAATCACACACGTTTTCATTTACAATGAAAAACAGACAATAACACAGAATCTGTGAGCTGCTACAGAATCAGGAGAAGATTTCGGTTTAAGAGGAACCAAATCTGAATTTGCTCTGAATAGTTTTTAATTCTTAATGTCATACTCAAGCCTTCCATCTGTTGGTGATCACATGTTGTTCCTTTCATGGCTTCTGGATTTTTCCACCTGCTCTGGGATTAAAACTCGCCGACTGCTCCCTGAAATAAATCTGCTGAGGAGCGTAACAAGGATCCTGGTAACGCCGCAGATGCAGGATTTCCATGTATGCCTGTTAAACATTTGTGTGTCTGAGTTTATCTTTTGCTTCCCATGTGAGCGAACGCAGACACGTGAACCTTCCTTCACCTCCGTCTGCTGCAGCGGTTTGTTTATCGCAGCTCCGTTAATTCACTCATCAGGACACCAGCACGTCCACTTCTAGCCCTCAATTAAAAACCTTCTCATCATGGAATCTGGACTTTAGGAGCATCTCACACTGAGGAGGTTTTGTAATTTCAAAAAAATGAAAACATTTGAGGAGTCAGACATCCGTAAAGCTCCGACTGTTTATCCTCGACTGTTGATGCTTGTGAGTGTTTCTGTAAACTCAGCTCAGCTCTGATGCTAGAAAACGAAGCGGCATCGTGTGTGGTGCAGGAATCATCCGGCCGTCACTAATGCAGCTGAGGAAGAAACGGTTTCATAATCTGGACCAATTAAAGTCAAACTGGAGGCAGCAGGAGGACATAAACAGCTTCAGAGCAGACAAAGCAAACCGAGAGGAGGCAGAAACCAGCGTCAGGAGCTTCTGAGCCTGTTCCTCTCTTGACTCAAACAAATAAAATGATGCAAATATTTTAGATTAATCAGTAAAATATCACATGAACTCGTTGTTTTAACCTCCATGGAAGGAAAACTATGTAGTTAGACATGAATTATGTGGAAGAGCTGCTCCACTTCAGCCCCAGAAAACGTTGCATTAATTAATAATTCATTTAAAACCGGCGACTGTATTATTCAGATATGTTATGTTGAACTGTAGGCAGCTGGTAGACGCAGTCTGACATGTTAAACACGGTCTCTTCTCCTTTCAGTTAGCAATAAGTTAACAAGAAAATATGTCAATTCATATTAGAAAAAAATATTTAATTTAATTTTGCACAGCATAGATTTCCCCCCCAAAAATTGAATCTACATTATAAAGGTGGCCAAATAATGTTAGTTTTCCTCTTTAACTGCATTTCAACATCGAATCAAATTAATGATTTTTTTTTTACAAGAATTTACAAAAAAAGACTCTTTCATGTCAAAGTGAAACCAGCTTACTATAAAGTAAAGCCAATTAATGAAAAATATAAAAGGTAAAACATGTACATCAGGTTGTGAGTGAGCAGCTCCTCTGACTTTGGACTCTGGTTTCACTTTGACATGAACGAGCCTTTGTTTTGGTAAATTCTTGGTCAAAAAGTCAAAAATAAATGGATGTGATTCAAAGTTGGAACTCTGAACTGTGTGACGTTTCTCCTCTGCAGCCTCACCTGTAGTCCTCGTTGACCATCAGTGTGTTGGCCGCCCAGCCAGGTGAGAAGGGGTTGGGCATGAGGCCGCCGGCCGGCACCGCCGTGGGCGCCACGGAGGGCGGGACGGGGGTCAGCGGCGTGATGGACGCCCCGCTGACGCCGCTGTCGTTGCCCAGGCCGGCGTCCAGGCTGGACCGGGCCAGGGAGATGGAGGACAGCAGGTTGATGACGTTCTCCGACAGCCGCCGGCAGTTCCTCGTGGACACCAGGAAGGGCTTGCTGCCGGTAAACAGCTCCTCCATGGAGGTCAGCGGGCCGGAGACGGACAGCTGCAGGCCGGTGATGGTGTCTGAAATCTGGGGAGGAAGCAGGAATGTCAGGGGGGTTAAGTGGGACGGAAACCACAGAACAGACAAGAGGAGGCTCATGACCTCCAGAGTGGTTTGTTGTTAATGTACGTCTGTGCATCCAGAAGCCTCCACAGCTGCACTCAGAGCTGCTCATAGCAACCTGCCTCATGCTTATGAGACGTCAGCAGCTCTGCATTTGTTGGTAATAAATATAGCTGTGAACTGCTCTGCTTGTCTTCACATATTTGGCCAAATATGAATAAACTAAAAGCTCGTATTGTTGTTTCCTTTGACTTTAGGAGAGAAAAACTGTCGGTGGCTGCAGAAACAGACGTGAGCTCACGTTTTATGGGGAAGTCTCTGCAATATAGCCTTAATCATGGTGAACGTTTAGTTCTCTGATTTCATTCTGAGCTTTCTTGTAAAGCTGCAAGCTTATTATCCACAGCTATAATATCACATGTGTACAGCTAAGCCCACAATTATTTTAGATTTCTACTGATTGAATTATTTGACCAGAAGGTTTCTTGTGGCTAGAAATGACATAAATAATGTGTTAATTATGAATTTTAACAATTTCTCTATTTGTTTTCACGTTTTTAGTAAAAATACTGTTTCTGAGGAAATTCAGCTGCAGAACTTCTTCTTCTCCACTTTGATTTCCTCTCAGTCGCCCCATTATTTCACCTCTAGTCATATTTGTTCTGTTTCCATACGTCCTTTAAATGTCGGGAGGTAAAGTGCAGTAAAGTGATTTTTTAATAATTAAAATCCTGCATGTATTTCCGAACAAAGACTTTTCAGACGATACGACATACGAGGCATAAACCCTCCGCCTGCTGCAAATCCTCCACTAATGGATTCACTGATCATACGTGTAATTATGTGATCGCAACGTTTCTCTCAAAGCTTAATGTTCTGCAAGCAGGAGGAGATGCTTCTTATTTTCTGATGCTACAATATCTGATACTGGATTTGTGTCCATATCTGATATTTATTCCATATTAGTTTTATTCTGACTCTGCAGCTGCACACAGGAAATCAAACACTTTTCAAATGTACACGCTGATCAGGCAAGATAAGAAACGAGCCAAATAAAACTATGAAACAACATAAAAACACAACGACTTTCCCTCATCAAGAGTTCACATAATTTCATTTTTATTGTAAGTTTTGGTGTTAAATGAAGGACTTTTATTTTTAAAGATTTCTTTGTTATTGTGAACAATTAACTACCAATTTACAGATTTTCTCTGTTTTGTTTAATTGAAATCCCTCAGAATGTGTTGATTCACACATTAACAGCTACAGTTTATTTCACTTTGACAGGGGATTGTTCTTAATTTTAACAGATATTTTATAGTAAATTTGCAGCCATTTCTGCTCAACTACGGACCTGTGTTGTACTTTTTATGTCATTTCTAATATATTTATGGTCTAGTGTCTGTTCACTGCAGCTGGGGAACCAAATACAACCATGAAATAACTTTTAAATACACTTTCCCGGATTAAGTTTGTATAGTTTTATGTTGATTGTGAGTTTTAATGTTAAATGAAGGACTTTTACCACAAAAAATAAACATTTTTTGAAGGATTTCTTTTGTTGTTGTGAACAATTAACTGCCAATTTACAGATTCAAACTATTTTTGTTCAATTGAAATCAGTCAGAATGTGTTGATTCACCACAACATCTACACTTCATTTCACTTCTATGGGGGATTGTTCTGGTAAATTTACAGAACTGTGTTGTATTTTTAACATCATGTCTAACATATTTATAGTATTATTCATTTATTTTCCTGATTTTTTTTGTGTGTCAGTTAGAATAAACGTCCAGTCTGTCTGCTGGAGGAGCCTCAGATCACAAATCCTGCTCTGATTCCACTCATCGATTTGTGTCTTTGGCGCGTTTTCACTCGTCCAGGTGTTGGTTTCAGGGCTGACCCGGTTCCTGCGGAGCTCGGTGGAAGGAGGACGGCCGGCGCTCTGACACACAAACCGGAGGGATCGATACGACACTGGTTTCTATCTGATTCTCTCTCCGCCTCCATCCAGCACTCTGCACAACACTCACCAGCAGATCGATGGAAGCGAGCGTGTAATTGGCTGTGAGAAGAGACGAGGTCAACTGATACATCCCATCATTAGCCTCGCTGTTGCCATAGAAACCGATGCCTATGGCAACACTGCAAAGAGGAGAGAGGAGGGGAGGAGAGAGAGAGAGGGAGAGAGAGAAAAGGGAAGAGAAAGCAACATGAACACATTGTGGGAGGCTGCATGTGTGACAGCGAGCGGCATGTTTAATTCAGTGTGTATGTACATGTTAAATGAACGTGACACCGGGAGATGGAGCTGCGGAGGATGGATGGTCGCACCGCCCGAGCAGCGCGGGGGGGAGGAGGCGGTGGACGGGCGGCGGGGAGAGACGCGCGGCCGGTTCAAGCTCCGGCGCACGGACCGTCGGCAGGACGTTAAACACGGCGGCGGGTTTACACATTTTTCTGGTATTCAAATATTCAGATTAAGGCCCGGGCCAGATGTTCATCAAATCCCCTCGAACCCAGGAGGAATGGTACGGCCCAATCTCCCACAAAGTATGTGACCCAGATTAGAAAGCGGCGGAGAGCAGGAGTGTGTGCTCCGCATGTCAAACCGCGTCTAATGCGGCCGCGAATTAAAACCACTGTTACTGGGCTCGTCCACATCATCATCATCATCATCATCATCCTCATCATCATCATCATCATCATCATCCTCAACATCATCATCCTCATCATCATCATCATCATCATCATCCTCAGCAGCAGCAGCAGCAGCAGAGAGCATCTCATCCATACACCAGATCTGCTGCAGGGATGACAGCTGAAATATCCAAACAGTAAAATCTATGTCATCTACAACATCACCTCCCGGTAGTTGGTGCAACAGCAGCTCCTGGGTGCAAAATCTCATATTTGAATATTTCAGCACTGTCGATGTTCAGCGTTTCTGTTCATTCATTTATCTTCATCCTGTTTTTAATTCTCATGTGTGATATTCCTGCATATACGCTCCACCTCTTATCCTACAGACTGTCTACAGTGTTCACACTAATATTATTATTATTTTATATGTCTCACAGCCTTCTGAAAAAATATTTAATTGAATTTAATTTTGCACAGCATCAATTCATTTCCACAGAATGCAGCATTTACAATGCAAAGGAAAAAAGGTGTTCATAGCACCGCTCATACTGTTCCTCCTATTTCTCCTGCTCCTGCCAATCTTTATCTGCACCTGTAGATTCAGATCATCTATTTTATATCACATCTATACATCTGTATGTTCATATATGAGTGTGTTCGTACTGTTCACTGTGTTCATACTGTAACATACACTAAAAAATGTATTTCACTGCTGCTTCGGTCCTTCTGCCTAGATGTTTAGTCGTCTGTGCAATGACAGTAAAGTTGAATCTAATTTAATCTAATATTATTTATTACCTCAGTATCTGTTGTCTTGCATCATTGTGTTTATTCTAAACAACGTCTGGCACGAGAACTTTCTTCAGGATTAATGATCTTCTCCAATGCAACATGAGATTCTGCTGTTGAAATAATCATTTTCTGATATTTTCTGATCTTTTTTCTGCTCAGATTCTTCCTTTAGTTATTTTACTTTATTTTCCTGTTGCTCACTGGGCGACACCAACAGCCCAAACCAAGCTCCTTGTATGTTGTGTCCGTACGTGGCCGTGAAAGCTGATTCTGATTCTGAATCTTGTCCTCATCCACCCAACCTGTGAAAAGCCTCATTTCCAGGCGACGTGCAGCAGCAGCAGCAGCAGCAGCGTTACTAACGTTACATCAGGATCCATCAGGGGGAGACACCTCATCAACCTACACTCTGTGTATGATGACATCATTATGGCAGCTGAAATCAAATCTGCAGTACATTATGTTCTGTGATCCAGCGGCTGCGGCGGCGGCAGTCTGGGATATAATAACAGGCGCTGCCGAAGCATTAAATTGCATTATAATTCTGTTAGAGCCGGGCCTGTAGCTGCCTCCCCTCACTGACTCACACTGCTGCTGCACAACAGTGTGCTGGACAGACGTCAGGCAGCGTTTCTGCACAGCCAAACACAACGTACTGACTCCACCGTGGGGAACACCGGCGGTAACGTGACTGGAGGTGGGCGAGCTGAGATCATCCTCACACACACACACACACACTCTGATGCAGAAATACACAAACAAACACACACACGGTGCAGCAGCAGGTCGGTGGTGAAGAAACAGCAGCATGACATGACGGTCAGCTGCCATCCAGACCTCCTCCTGTTTACTGAGGGACTAAATAACACATGACCATGGATTCAGCGAATGCTTGTGAGTCACAGGAGAGTAATCGAGTACATTTACTTCTACTTCCTAGTTAGTACAGCTGTGAACAAAAGTTTATATTCACTT